TCTCCCCCGTGTACGGGTGCAGCCTCCCTCCGCGATTAATCGGGTTCCTCGCGTTTTCCTCTGTCTGCGTCTCTTTCTCCTCGCCTCTCGCAATATAATGTCGGCTGCTTTCTACTTTGCTCTCGTAAAATAATATCCTCCCCTATGTTATGCATATAAAATATATATATAATGGCTGCGCAAATAAATCCTTTTCCTCCTAGGTATGTGTGAGTCTCCGATTCAATATATTTTCTTTTCCACCAATTAATTCCTCTCTTATGGCTGCTGCGTGAATGTGCCCAGACTTGTCCTCCAATTAATTGTCATTTGGGCCCACCAAATAATAACACTTAACAATGGGGCCATTAAACACAATTAGCACACATTGGCCTAAATTGGGCTGATATGGGGCACTGCTGGGTTAGTACGGGGTACCCCGTACTGCTCCGGATGAAATTTCTTCCAATGTCACGTCGCCGCCGAAAACACTCCAATATCCTAGAAATAAACCATAAAAATATCAAAGTACAAGATTCCATCTAATAATTAAATAAGTCGAAAAATATATAAGTGCAATAAAATTTAGCATATAAAAATACGCTAATAAATATATAAAATATACACACTTTCCCGACCAATCACATACTTAGTTACAACTAGTACCTATAAAACATCAGTAGCAATGAAAAGACAATAATCAAAACTATTTTGAAGCTGCAAAATATCACAGAGTACTCCTGTTGTAGAAGATGGTGAGTCCCTAAAAGAATGCAGCTGCGGTAGGATATCCTCATTTGGAATAGTGCACTGAATTTTCTTCCAATTTCTTGTACAGGCTCATAATTACTGATTCAATATTATATAAGTTGTCTCAATTAAGAACACAATTTCAGAAAAAACAAAAAAAATAGTACAATTATTTTTATAAGGTCTGCATATTAATTGTACAGTTGGTCACGGATAGTGGTGCTCAATTATTAATTATATTTACCTTTTTCCGTATGTATCGGATCAAACATAAAAGGCAGAACTTGTCTGTATTACCATTTTATTGTTTCCCATTTCCTTGAACTTTCCTGGAATTCAGAAATTAACATTATTTGAAGTCAATTTAATTGTCCCTTCAAATGTAACATGAAACTGGCTCAAAGAGTTGTAGACTGAGAAGAACATTGGTTGAAGGATAAATATAGAGAAAATTACAATGTTTACCTACAAATGCATTTTTCTCTTTACATTTATGCAGCTCTTTCTTTCAATTGCAAATATAATAAATTTTGTTGTTTATAAATGGTTGGTTTGTGGTTTACTCTTTAATTTATCCCTGACTTGTAATATTTTGGTTTATACTCAAGTTTATAAAATATTTATGTATGAATTAATTTTTAGTGTCATATTTTGCAATTATTTTCAAAAGTTTAGTAAACATGTAAAATTCAGACTCTCTTATACGCTCTTGCAGAAAATATGGCTTCTCATTTCATTAGAAAAATAAAGTTGAGTCCTGTTTTAAGAAACAGGGCAGTTTCTTTAATTGTCTGATCATATGCTAAATGTTTGAAATTTTAGTTACTTTGCTAGGATAATTAATTGCACATGCAAAATACTACGTAAGTTCTATCTGTTTCAATTTTTAGTTAATTTTTTAATTAATTTTTAGTTAATTTTTAGTAATTGCACATGCAAAATAGGCAAGTTCAAAGTGCATCACGAGTGGCTAATTAATGTGACATGTTTTCTCAACTTTTTGGGACAGGAAAGGCAAAAGTTGTCTTTGGTTTGCGGTGTTTATGATTTTCTCCCTCAGTTAAAAGCTGAGATATATACATTGATTTAATTTGATAAATTCACTTATAGTCATTGCCTTGGCTTAGTAGCCATTACAATTAAATGAAGAGATAAGAAAGAGCTAAATAAACGAATTACAGTCTTTAGTAATTAGCTTTTAAAATTAAAAATGGGAATCAAAATGGATATAAATCGTATTTAAAAAAGGAAAATATTATTAATTATAAAGGATGGAATTTAACATGAATATAAAAGTGATTGTCATGGTAGTAAAAATGGATCAAGAATCGAATTAGCTGATCGGTCCACTCTTATTCAGAAAACTGTATGCCAAATGATTGGTTAATAATCGGTGTTTGACCGGTCAGAATTGCTCGAACTGGTTAAAATTTGTTGTAAAATATAGGTTTGATATTTTTTTAATATATTTTAAATATATAAAAATATTATATCAATTGGGTAATATGTAATTTCTTTCCATTGAAATGTTGTCTTTATAGTTTGATGACAGGTTCATGACTTCCATATTATAGTTTGATATAAATGCACGAGTTTTCAAATTTAAGTGTGGCTTCTTGTCAAATTTGTGTAGCAGTTCGAGTTTCGAATTTATGTTTCAGAATTTAAGAACTCGTGATATACGAGTCTTGATTAGACCCGTTTAGCCTTTGAGTTTTCAACTGTTGTCCTATACGTCAATTTACAGTGTTTTGGAGTATTTCATGTTGATCTAAACTTATTTTCATATATAGGATATTTCACTAAAATTCTAAAAAAAACTATATTCTAATATTTAATAATATTTTTATTTATTAACAGTTTTTCATAAATGATATCATCAAACTGATCTAAACTCAGTAAATGATAATAAATTTAGTTGTTTTCACCTATGAAACAACTAATTATTTACCATACATTTTGCAAAATAAGCTAATTTGATCATTAAGTTAATACTGTTTACTTAGTTAATTATCTAATTAATTAACTATAGAAATTTTCACACATTCAACCAGGAAAAGAGTAATTCTTTAGGCTATAGCTAAGACAAGACATTTTTTCACCTTTTGCTTGACAGTAATGGTGTAAAGTCATGGGCCAAAGGTTACTTTGGGGTGCATTAATATTCACAATTCACAAGTCTAATGCCTTGTTTGTTTTTCAGCTTTTTAGCCAAAAAGCTATTTTAGCGGTTTTGACCATATTGGGAAAAGCTAAAATTGGCGTTCTTGATGTTTGGTAAGTCACCTTTTGAAACTAGCGGATGGGCTCAAAACGCCAAATATTGAAACGCTAAGATTAGTAGCGTTTTCCTTTAATCTTTTTGCTTAACTATTGCCACTTCGCGAAATAATTATTAACATATTTTGCTTAACTATTGAAACTAGCATATTTTTTTAATAATTAGTAGCTTTTTGCTTAACAATTGAAATTAGCATATTTTTGTAATAATTACACGGTTGTGTTGATATGATGTGAACTTATTTACTCGATTAATAAATATTTTTATTATTATTTATATTTTTATTGTATTTTAAATTACTTTAATAATTATTTTAAGTATGATTTATTTTTATTTCTTAACTAATTATAAATTTAACATATGTCCTTATAAATAATTTTATATGTTAACAACTAATTGAAATAGCTAATTTTATCAAACACTCTTTTACAAACTGCTAACACAATCAGCTGGTCAAAACAGTTAATACAATCCACTGATCAAAACAGTTAATACAATCCACTGACCTGACAGCTAACCCCCATTACCAAAGAAGGCCTAAAGCACATGTTGTGTAGTAATGAAGAGGAACCTTTTTCACGAAATACCATACGTGCGCATGTGCCATTACGCTAGAAAACTGCAACTTGAAATAATAATATAATAATAATAATAATAATAATAATAATTAATACCATACGTGGGAAAGATAACTTTTTAGTGGACTAACTTTGATTGTTTCCTATTTTTATTCACTAACTTTTTTTAAAATTGTTGCATTAACTTTTATTTTTCTTTTCAATTTCATCCAATATTTTTTTAGAGTTTCAATTTCGTATAATTATTACTGGTTCTGTACTAATTTCATTCAATCTTTATTTTTTGGTATGTATCCCAAATCAAATCTCGCGACCCGATCTATCTAAATTTCGTATTGATTTCTTCATATTATTCACAGATCATGACAAATTGTTGTTGTTGAAGGTCTCCAAAAACTTTCAATTTACAATCTTTCTTTGCCAACGTCATGTTAGAGATCGGATGCTCGGAGCCTTTCAAACAAAATAAACGACTTCTTATTTTGTTTGTATTTTCTCTGACTATAAAACCCCCTCACACATGTAAGTTTTTGTTAGTAATCAATAGAAATTTCAGTTTATAATTTTAGCCCTTTTTTAATGAAATTGGCACAAAATAAATATAAAGCTAATGTACTAAATTTGCAAATCCAAAAACTAATTAGTGAACAAAAATTTGAATCACCCGAATTAATAGACTAAAATTGCATGTTTTTTTTTTCCCATGCATGTATGTATAGTTTTTTGGAAGAGCATGATATATATGATTAATGTCTAATCAAAGGAGCTCCTTTTTGTTGGTATATTGTACAACAGACCAATGAAATTAAAGATGATTATTAATAATAAAAACAAATGTATGCTGCAGCCAAGTGTTCCCTAACCAAAATGCATCCAATTTCTCAAAGTTAATTTGGTGTAATTAGACTTAGGATAAGGACAGATTCTGCCTTTTCTGTTGGATCTAAAAGTTGAGCAATAATGGAGATTTAGAAAACCCGTGATCACCTGCAGAATATTAATTACAACTAATTAACCAAAAGCTGAGAACATGCCTCATATTACTTAGTTTGCAGGATAAGCTTGTTTACTTTCAACTTAATTTTTTGTGAGTTGTCAAGATTCCAACTCATCAGGTGAGTTTCATTACAATTGAACTGCAATAAAGATTCTCATTAGTTAAGACAAAATTTGACTTTTAGGATGCATCTGCTAAAAGTGGAGAGGACATGTCTTAATATAGTTATTTGTTCCAATCTCTATGCAAATTTTACTATTTTTATATGATGATGATATCTCACTATGAATTAATTGCAACATTCAAATTTGAAAAGGTACATTGCCTTTCCTCCCTTCATCTTCATTTCATATATATATAAACACAAACCACCCGAAAGTTTCATTCGCAGCCAAAAATTCAAATTTGTATCAAAATGAGGTCGATAATTCTAAGCCAAACACGTTCGTCTAGCATGCCTTCGAGACCTTACTCTCCAATAAGCCCTGAATTCAACTTACATTTACATACACTAAACTCCAAAAACGAACCAACCTCTTCTTCTTCATCTCTATCGTCAATCGCAACGAAATTACACAATCTTGAAAGTTTATATGATTGTGTCGATAACTTGCTCCTCTTGCCACATACACAACAAATTTTCACCCGAGAAAGCCACGAAAGATGGTTTGACGAAATCTTGGATGGATATATTAGCTTAGTGGACACTTGTGCCATAGCCAAAGATTTCATCTCCCAATCGAAAGAATATATCTCGAACCTTCTTTCTATCCTTAGGCGTAAAGATGATTTTTCGGAGTTCATACGCTCGATAAAGTCATTCAAGAATCAAATACAAAAGTCGTTGCGAAATATAAATTTGGGCAGCTTTAAGATTAAAAAGCCCTCTGTTTTGGCAGAGGACAAAAAGGATCAAGAAGCTATTAATGCTATCATTAGCATGCTCGAAGAGACTTTTCGTATAACTTTTGCTTTGTTGGAGAATCTTTTGTTAAGTATTTCTCGTACAAAGGGCAATCGATGGTCCTTAGTTTTGAGGCTTATAATGGGGTCGTCGAGGAAAGTTTCGTGCAAAGAGGACGAAAAAGGCTCGATTTTTGAGTTTGGTGATTTGGATGCTGCATTGTGTAAAGGAATTGTTCGAGTCGAGGAATTACAGAGGAAGTTGAGAGAGATGGACTCGATTATTCGAGATGTTGAGGAAAGATTAGAATGGCTGTTCAAGCGTTTGATTAAATCGAGAGTTTCGCTGCTCAACTTGCAAAGCCAATACTTCTAGTCGATGGCTGATGATCGTGTTAAAAACTTTTTTGTCCCGTTGGATTTTTTTTTTGGCTGTAGTCTTGAAGAAATATTTTTGCAGTTTTGTGTCTCACAAGAAAGTTACCTCCTTTTCTTTTTTTTTTGCATTTTTAGTCCCCTGAGAAGGTATATTTTCACACTCTTGGGACCANACTTTGGGAGATCATCCCTTCACAATTAATCTTGCTTAATCCCATGTTAACACTATTGTTATCCCGAGGAAGCTTTATAACCGCACGCCCGTAACAAGGAAAACAAACACAACCCGTGCAGGATAACTTGTCCAAATCCTATTAATCAGGCATCTAATATGCAGAGGTATCGGGTGGGGGAGAAATATCTACCGGTCAAAAGTTTGACCATAATTTTCTCTAATGGAGAAACGTTAGGTTAAAAACCACGTGTGCAAAAACCTTTTACAAAATACCACTTATTGTACATGTGCGATTATGCTAATAACACTGCAATTTGGAATATAGTAATGTCAGGCAATTCATGAGTATGTTTATAAAGATGAGTCATGTTAATTAGTTGTTTAAATCATTTTTGAAATATTATTGAACCGAGCATTAGCTGGAAATTTTAATGAAAAATAACTCGGTTAGCACGTATTTCAGAGAAAAAAGATGAACGAAAAAAAAAAAAAACCCAATATATGGTCCAGCTAAGTGTTCCCTAACCGAAATGCATGTGATTCTACCCATAGCCTTCACCAATTGGAACTTCATCAATTAATATTTAATACTCTTAATACGTTTTAACCGTTCATCGGGACTGAATTAATCGCGTACGTGCCTTTTAAATGTAGTGAATACAAATCTTGCCTTTTTTTTAATTCATGCTCCATGTGACTGGATTGGATCAATTGTTTAACATATTGTTTCCAGGAAAGTACAACCAATCCTGCCTTTGGTACTTCACTGGTATTTGAGTTGTCAATATTAATCCAACTCATCAGGTTTCTTTTCATTAAAATTTAAATTAAAGTACACTCTCAAATCTCAAAACTCTTTCAGTTTAGGGGGAACATGATAATCACTAATAAAAGACAAATTTTGCCCTTAGTATGCAAGGTGAATGTAGAGAGAACATGTGATAATTATGGTTATTTTTTCAAAATTATATTAGTGAGAGTTGTATCAAAAAAGTGAGATAAAATAAATAATATATGTTTTGGGGTAATTTTTATTTTATTTTCAATTTTATAATAAAAAATAAATAGAAAAAATAGATCCAATCACAACTGAAGTGTTTTAATTATTTTTTCCTACAAGACATTAGTTTATAACGAACACCTAATGAACTAATGACTTGGTGAATTTTGTTGAGTTCTTAAAAAAGTTAGACCATAAAAAACTGTGAGTGCTAAAAATCAAATACTAAAATTGAAATTTACCATAATTTAGGGTATTAATCGCAATTTCCCCTAATACATTCTAGATGCGTTCAACTTTCTGTTGAGTTGTCAAGATTCCAAATTAGACTTAATTAAACTATACAATAATTCTGAATGTCACATGTTTTTCAAACAGAGCGTGCAAAATTAATTACGCCAGCAAACTCAAAATTGTGCCTATTTATCTATCTGCCTGAAGTTGAGCCAACATGCCTAAGTAATATTAGTGACCAAAAATTGAGAGATAACATGTCGCAATAATGGTGATCAAAAGTTGTCCGCAAAGAGTCTAATTTGAATAATATTTTACCGGCTCTCATGTGTATCATCTCAAAATAAATAAACATATTGTCATGTGCAACTATCAACTATGCTAACATGATTAGAACTCAATTGAATAATATCAATACTAAACCACGAGGCAGTTAGTTAATTAATTTATTAATTAAGCAGTTTAATTATGAATAAGAAAGCCCGATCACGGGTAGATTAAAAAAGAGAATGAGATGGCTTGCGTCACACACGTCTAAGCCTTGCGTCACAAAGACTTGCCTTTTTTGTACCCGTACTTAACGTCCTTGCATGTGCACTTAATTATGCTTTAAATACACCAACACCTCAAGCATTTATCACACATTAATGGAACTACAATCTTTAAATTCTTAAAAAGACGCAAATTAAAACGGTGTTTGATTAAGATGAAAAACGAGGAACAATTAATTATATAATTAATGACAATTTCTAATTATTCATCTGTTAAGATGAATAATTAATGTCTTCCATAGATGCTTATTGTAGATTAACAACTCACTATACAGCCTAAATTAACGAGTCACTGTACAGCCTATAACCACTGCCTTTGATAGTTCACTGGTATTTGAGTTGTCAAGATTAATCCAACTCATCAGTTTTGTTTTCATTAAAATTAAATTACTAACACAATAAATCTCAAAATTATTTCAGCTTTCGGGGAACATGATAATCACTAATAAAAGACAAATTTTGCCTTTAGTATGCAAGATGAATTGAATGGGGAGAGAACATGTCATAATTTTATATGGTGCCAATCTCTATGCAAGTACAATACAATATTGTTTATTTATTTTATTTTTTTTATGTCTAAGATCTGACGAGAAATTAATTAATTTGTTGTTAACATTTCCCCCGTCTCCCCAGTTCCCCTCATATTCATCATATATACAAACACAAACCCTCTAAAGCTTTATTTCACACCATAAGAAAAAAAACCAGCTAACAAGATTTTGAATTTCTTACACCATGAGGTCGATAGTTCGAAGCCAAACACGCTCGTCTAGCATGCCCTCGAGATCTTACCCTCTTACAATAACCCCTGAATTCGACCTACATTTGCATACACTAAACTCCGAAAACGAACCCACCTCTTCTTCTTCTTCTTCTTCTTCTTCTTCTTCTTCTTCTTCTTCATTTCTATCGTCAGTCGCCAAAAAATTCCACAATCTTGAAAGTTTATACGATTGCGTAGACGATTTACTCCTTTCGCCTCACACAAACCAAATTTTCACCCGAGAAAGCCGCGAAAAATGGGTCGAACAAATCTTGGATGGATATCTGGGCATAGTGGACACTTGTGCCACGGCTAAAGATTTCATCTCCCAATCGAAAGAATACATTTCGAACCTCCTTTCAGTCCTCAGGCGCAAGCGAGGCTCGGAAGATCTTTCTGAGTTCATCTCCTCAAGAAAGACGATCAAGAAGCAAATACAAAAATCGTTGAGAAATATCGGTAGATATAAAAAGAACTCCTCTGTTTTGAAAACAGGGGACAAAGATCAAGAAACCATTGCAATCATTCGCACGTTTAATGAGATCGAGCGTACGACATTCGAGTTGTTTGAGTCGTTACTTTCGAGTGTTTCGGGTGAAACGAGCCGTTTAAAGTCAAGTAAATGGTCCCTTGTTTCGAAGCTTATGGGGTCGAGAAAAGTTTCGTGCCACGAGCATAAGAGCTCGATGCTCGAGTTCGGAGATTTGGATGCTTCGTTGAGTAAATTTGTTAGTAAATGCGAGACGGGCTCAAAAATCGAGGAGTTGCAGCAACAGTTGAGGGAGATGGATTTGATTATTACAGTGATTGAGGAAAGATTGGAGTGTTTGTTCAAACGTTTGATTAAATCAAGAGTGTCACTGCTCAACATGCAGAGCCAGTTTTAGTCAACTGCAGATGGACAACATCAGATAGTTTTTGTCCTAATAGATTTTTTTTTTTTTTTNCAGTTGGGTCTCACAAGTTTTTGTTTTTCGCTGTTTTGGTCCTGTGTGAAGTTAGTTTTTCCTCTTCCTGGGACTGAAAAAGTATATATTAGTTCTTGTGAGCCTTATCTGTTTTTGCTCAATTTTATAATATTGAGAATGAAGATGCAAATAGGAAACTCTTCTGTAGTTATTTGGGAGTCCAAATATGTGCCTTTTCCTATGGATTATTTTATTTAATGACTTACTGTAGCCATTTACATGCTTTTTTTTTTTTTTANGCTTATTATATACCTACAAGTCATAATCACTCAGTTAAGATTAAAAATACACAAACTTATTCCAAAACACTAGACTACTAAATGTCTCTGTGTAAAAAATATATTGGATCAATATTCAAATCTAACTACATAAGGACACTTGTGATTATGTTTGAGAACCAAAATATGTATATTCCTTACAGCAGACATTGTTGATTTAATTACCTTAAGGTTATCATGAAAGAGATGGAATTGAAAAATGTTTGTAAAAATGTATGCCACCTTTCAAGTATCTTTTGATTCTTTTTTTGACATTCAATCAAAATATTTATGCAAAGAGTGAACTTTTTACATATGATTTTGTATACATCTATTGTGCTGAGTTATTCACATAATTCAACTCTTTCTGTGTGACATGCATTAGCAAGAGTTTAATTTTCTGTGGATTTTATCACGTAGCAAGGGGCTACTGTGGCAAATGTTTTGTCATGTCCTCATCTGCCAGCTTTTAGTAATCATGTCCTCATACTGGATTCAGTATTGACTATGAACCTTGGTAACACTTTTCAGTACAAGAAACAATTTCTGGAAAGAAAGGCCAACTTAAACCCTTCTGCTCTCTTAATGGATGATATGTTGTCTGAGGTCAGTCCCTTGCGTTCTCCTCTTTCAGACATTTACATTGCCCTTTAGATTCCCATGTTGAATTTTTCAATTCTCTTATTTTATATGTGGTTTGAGGTTTGAGCAGTTGATGAGCTTGCGCTGTTAATATTTTGTTTCGTGTTTAATAAAGGTGTCCTAAGGGGTTTAATATCAACTGGAACAGTCCTTGTCCTGGGCAGCACTTGACTCTGGTTACGGAAATCATTTCTGCCCCTTTTAAATATTAGTTTTGGAACTTTCAAAAAATCATATCATCTTTTTTGCACATGAGCCAGTAGATTTATACTGAGATGTAATAGGGAAGCTTGAGATGGGAAAGGACAAGGAGATGCCAAGATAAGTATCTTTTTGAGTTATTATCATCTTTTTTGAACATTTGAGCCAGTAGATTTAGACTGAGGTGTAATAGGGGAAGCTTGAGAAGGGGAAGGATAAGGAGAAGCCAAGATAAGTATCTTTTTGAATTATTAACTTCAAATCCTTGGCTTATAAGTCTCAACTTTTAGAACCGTTATTTGGTTTTCAATGTGGACCAGAGAATCAATCGGCCGAACAGCTGGTTCTCGATCTCTGCAACCCTGATCTCCGGGAAAACGCGCTCCTCGAACTATCAAAGGTTGTCTGGTTCTATCATACAGTTTTACATTGTTTTTTGGTTCTTCTATTGCCAATAATCTGATCATTGTAGTTTGTGCTCTCCAGAATTTCGGTGGTAATTACTTATTACATTTTGTTGAGTAGCGCAGTAATCAAATGTCACTATTTGAAATAGTGTTTGTGTCAATGGCTACCAGCAAATAAAAACCTTTTTCTAATGTCCGATTTTGGACAATGCTCATTGATCTTGAGTACAAAACATCTATATTTGTTGGCTTGCCCAGTTGTTTATCTATGGTTCGCAAGTGACTTGAATGTTGTCTGCTTTTGGTTTTTGAATCTCATATTGCTTTTGTTTCTCTGTGGAGGTTGATTCTTGATTAATCATGGTTTCTGTGTATTATTTTTTCATACATGTCTTATGCACTGTCTTGTTCTCTATGTAATAGAAGAAAGCTGTTTCAAGATTTGGTTCCCCTGCTGTAGAATTCCTTTGGCACAATTGCGGCACTTCTGCAGGTTTGCCATGTGATTTAATACAAAGCGCCCAATTTGTAAAACAGAGTTTGCAATGCTCTCGCTCTTCTTCATGTATTGTCTATTTCTGGTTCAGAATCTTCCTTGGAAATTCTTAATGCTTTTATCCGCCTTTCGACAGTTAATTTTCCAGGTTTTTATATCTGTCCTTGTGTATTATATTTGGAAGTCAAAAGGTGCAAGCTCAGAAGTGCAGGACACTAATAGCTACATAATGCAAAAGAACTAGCATGCATTTATATGGCTTATGATAGAGTGAAGGCCGGATTTCGAGAAGAAATTCGAAAATGAAATTGATATTAATTGAAAACGAAAGAAACAGGTAGAACTCAAAGCAATTGCAGCCCCAAGCTCGAATGCTGATCAAGATCTCGACGGCTTAAGAAACCTAAATCCTACAACTTATATAAAACAAATTAGGATTCCAAAGCAAAAGCTGGGGCCATCACCTCATTCTAGCCCTAATTAAATAACTCAACTAAAAAATATTGAACATAAATATAGATACATATTAATACTCTCCCAGTCAGAACAGGTTTGTCCCCAAGGTTGTATTGCCGAAAACCCATGCAACACCATTAACTCTATCAATTGCTAGACATCGACTTTTATTTCATTTAATTCAGGAGTTGGGAGTTTGATCCCATTTGGTCAGAATATCCATTAGGGTTACAATTAGTTTACAACTTTATTTAAGTAGACTAACAATTGATATCCAGCCATCCAGGGTTACTTTTTGTTGAATTGCATTGTCGGCTTTAAGCGCGGGAAGTTCTCCCAAAGTGTTGCCCTTAGGCTGGGTGAGATTCCTCCCTAGTTGTTTTAAGTTATTTTTGTAATTAATAATATCCATTATTGTTATTTTTGTTTGCTTTCACCCTTAACTCAATTAGTTGGCCCTACTTGGATAAAAAAATTGTATGGAGTTGTGCAGTAATTGCCGCCGGCAATCATGGTCTCACCGATTTCCGAAGAACGGTATTGAGCGCGCCGAGGCTTGGTCGAGGAATTTTGTTACAACCTTGAGGACAGAGTTGTTTGAGAAAATTACTTACCCTACGACCATATGGGTCTTTTATTTAATAAGAACGAGCCCTGAATAAAAATTTGCAATCTTGCGAAAGGGAAGAATATGGTATCCTATTTTTCACAATATTTTATTAAGTTGGAGGTTGAGGTATTTATGGTGAGTGGAGGATTTAATGTTATTTTATAGGAAGACTAAAAGATTAAAGAAGTTCAAGATCAATTTCCAAAAAAATCAAAGCACCTTCCCCAAAAATCATCACTCTTCCGCAAAAAAATTAAAAGCACCTTCCGCAAAAATTCACCAACATTACACATAGAGATGTTAAACGGGCTAGCCCTAGCGGGCTTCGGATTAAATGGTCCGGGCCTAAAAAGCCCGGATTTAAATGGTCTACCAATAAAAGGACCTAACCCTAAACCTAGCGGACTTCGGGCTAAACGGGCTATACGGGCTATAATAATAATAATAATAAAAATAAGAAATTACAACACCTAGTTAACGATTTTTTCAACGGCTATTTAGTATTTACCACTATATATATTATATACAACTACACTTCATATATGAACACACAATACAAACTTTTAAATAACATATTGTTTCTCAATAGAAAAAAAAAATATTCGAACTATTACTTATAAGTACCATTTGACTACTTATTTGGTACGATTTGGGAATTTTCACAATATAGCATACTATTGAATTTATATTCTATCACTATATTCTATATGTTAGGTCTTTGTTTCATTTATTTTTTATTAGTCGTTCTGATTGACTTAAATATTTTTCTATGAAATAGAATAAAATTTGTTAATAATTATCTATCAAAATAATAATAATATATTATAACTCATAATTACATATGAAGTAGATTAGCAAAAATTGTAATATACAAGGAACCAATGGACATATTCCTTACCTTTATAAAAACATATACACCACCATTAAACGGGCTAGCCCTAGCGGGCTTCGGGCTAAACGGCTCGGGCTTAAAAAGTCCAGATTTAAACGGGTTGTCAATAAAATGCCCTAACCCTGTTTTTTTCGGGCTAAACGGGCCGGCCCGTCGGGCCAAAGACGATTGACCGCGCGTCGCAACGCGGCAAAATTATAATTTATATTTTCCTTAACAGACTTCTATCAACTACTAGTAGTAGTGAACAAGGGTCGATCCCACAGGGAGTGTGAATCAAATCGTGAATTTTCTCGTATTAATTGAATTATAAAAGCAATAAAAGAGGGGGGATTGGTTTAAAAACTAAACTTATTAAAAATCCTAATAAACAAAGGAAATAAAAATAAAATAGAATAAATAAAGAGAAGTTTCTAGTTCACGGTTCCGTCTACACCCTCGACTGACTCGTCTAATCAATTCTGGTATCAAATTTCGCTATCTTATGAGTTACTAGCCCTAGGCAACGACACAGTCAGTTACCCGAATTTTTCCTTATTTTTAATTTAACCGCGAGACGCTCAACGATTAAACCTGACTTCTTGTACAGTCCGGAAAAACGTTTTCAAGATTTAATACAATTAACCGCTTTACGAATTAGAAAAATAGGCTAGACTAAGTAGTGAACTCAACCACGTTCGCTCACTTAAATAGGCCGTGTTATCCCCGGTAGTTACCATCTTCCGGTTACCTCTTATGAATTAAACACAACAACAATTACGGATTGCAGGTCTAATTCAGATGTAGATATGAAAAGCCTAATCTAGGTGATCAATCTAAACAAGACTAACACATCATGGTGAATTATTCAAAATAACACAAACAATTCCAAAAGGATAACTCAATAATCAACCAAGAAAATCAATCAAACATCATCAAGTCGTAGGGTTCATCATCACCGGAACTAGAAATAAAATCTAAGCTATCATAATAAATAAAAATAAATAATAAATAAAAGAGAGATTAATTATCTCCCTCGTGTACGGGTGCGGCCTCCCTCCGCGATTGCCGGATTCCTTCGTCTATTTGCTCTGTTCGCGTTCTCTTTTTCTCTGCTTTCTTTTCTTCTGTTTCTGCGTGGCGGCTCCTGTACGTGAGTGAATATGATGGCTGGGGCGTGAATATATATAAATTGGTTGCTGTCCTTTATTTTGAATTTCCAATTAATTCCCATGAATTGGGCTCTCAGGCCCACAAAAACTCACATATCCTCCAAACTTACGTATGTATGTATCAAAGTATAAGCTCCTCTCCAATTAAGTTCATGAGTGGGCCCTTTATAATTTTTATTTCACAAATTGAGTGGCAACCCAATTATTTCCAAATCCAGGTCCGCTCCCATTGGAATCACATTTTAGGCTTTGACATGTTGTCCACGAAAATACTCCAATATCCTAAAAATAAAACATAAAAATATCATAGCACTAAAATCCATCTAATATATAATTAAGTCGAAAAACATATAAATGCGATAAAATTAAGCATATTAAAATACGCTAAGAATTATATAAAATTCACTCTTTTTTGACCAATCAAATCTCCCCAAACTTAAACCGTTGCTTGTCCCCAAGCAACTTAGAACTATAAGCACAAAGATGGACAAGAAAACAAGCACGTGGAATTTTACTCAGGTCCTCACGCTTCTCACATAAATACATAATTCAAACAACTCAAATTAATTTATCCGGACTCAAGATGAAATTATTTTAGGAACTCAAACAATCAAGTATCAATTCAAGTGACCACCATAGTTTGTCAATCTTTATAACGAATGCACTGATCAATGCAAATCATGACACCCCTCTCTTTGCTAATAAGTCAAGTTCCCTTCCGTTTCTAGCCGAAGTCTAAATGTCTCATTCTCCACACTCTTTTTTTTTCTCTCTTTTCTTTTCTTTTTCTTTTTTTTTTAAGTAGGGAACGCCAGCTCCGTCACAACCCGTGGGTTTTAGCCTTTCGTGCTCGTCTAGATACGGAAATTATTGGAATTATACACTAGAGTCCCCACAGATTGGCAGCTGTTGCAGCCCATGCTCTTTTTTTTTTTTTTTTTTTTTTTTTTTTTGTGCCAAACGGCTTTTCAACTCCACCAATTATTCCTCCATCCTCATTATTCTTTTTTTTTTCGACTATGAGACATAGAAACCCCAACTTTGAACTTCAAGTCCCCAAACTTAATCAACATTGATTAAGACAATCACAAGCACATCTCAACAACACAAATCGTTTCAAAACCAACTCACTACAAATAAATCACAAAAATATCAACCATCATGTCTTTGTCTCCAAAATAAAAGCACCTTAAGAATGTAATCAAATAAAATCAACTCAAGCCATTTAAACTAGCACAATAAATCCAAACTGACTCTCATATCATCATCGCAAAATTCCACGTACATGCAATCTCACGCTCACACAAGACAAACAAATATCAAGCAATAATCTAAGAACTCAAACTCTAAGGGGCATCAATACAATGACATAATAAATCATGAATGCTCACCAAGAAACACCTCCCCAAACTTAGAGTTTGCATATATCATAGACACTCAAATAAACTCAAATAAACAAAACAGAGGTAAAAGAAACGAGTTCACCTTAGTCAATGCGAAGAAGTCGCTGAACCATGCACACCATTGGGTTGCCTCCCAACAAGCGCCTCTTTTTAGTGTCGTTGGCCCGACTTATTACTCCTTTTTCATCAAATGATCCATGGCGGCTTCGGAGGTGGCCTCAAGGGAGCCACAAATCTCACCACGCCATGCTTGACGCAATCTCTTCTTTCCGGTGTTGGGTGCTTCACCGGATCTTTCCTCTATGACGCTAATTTCTCAAGAATGTGTAGCAACCCGCGCTCGATCACGGTCACCGCCTCAACAAAATTCCATTCACACCTTTCGTTTTGCTCGAGCGTCTCAAGAGAAGGTATATCAAGGCCCAAGACATGATTCAACGCATCTTTGCTCAGTACTCACTTCATATTAGAATACATAGGACACGGTTCAGCTTCTATCGGCACAAGAGCGGGAAGAATGGTATGCTTTTTGGCTACAGCAGGTCGAGTATGGGGCCCCCCCATATTCTGCTGCTAAGCCCCATATTCTGCAGCTTGGTTCTCTTTTTCGCTCACATTCTTCTCGATATTCGTGATTTTCTCGTTCTCCAGCTCGTGTGTGCCCTCTTCAGGTTCCTCGAGGTCCTCGTTGTACGAATGGATGACGCTAGAACTCATTGGACTCGTTTCCAACCGATACACTAGTCGGTCCATCTGGTCCACCAATTGGCTCATTTGGCCTTGTAAATTCTGTATGCGTAGACCTTGGTTCTTGATGCTCATCTCTTGGCTATTGATGCTCATCTCTTGGCTCTGATGCTCGCCTCAACACTTTGTTGAAAGTTAAGAGTGTTAGCCGTCAACTCCTTCATCATCTTCTCGAGCGACGGACCAGGATCTCTCTCAACGAATGGCTCACAATACTCTTGCCGAAATCTCAACGTGTGAGCCTCTAGTGCCTTCACCATATCCTCGAGCGATGGGCTGGGATCTCGCGCAATTGGTGGCTCGGAGTACCCATGGAAAGAGCTCGAGTGCTCTCTCAAGCCGTACTCGATCTCCTCGGGATACATGTAGTCTTGCTCGTATCTTCGCCAGCCATTAGGTCCTCTTACTCCTTTATCTCCAATCCACGGGCCTCGTATTTCCCTCTCATACTGATAAGGTGCACGGTGGGTATAAAAGTCGTGATAATAGGCTGCCATCTCGAAAAGCTGCTCAAAGCTCGATCAAAAACGCCAAAACTCAAGTTACTCCCAAGAGTATGGGGGCGAACTAATCTGTCAAGCAGAGTACGGGGTCTCCCAGTATTCTGCCAGAAAAACAAAAATAAGGAAAAAGAGAGGGGTAAAAGATGATAAAAATAAAAAAATCTAATAATAATAATAATAATAATTCAATTAGTACTCAAAAATCACAATTCAATAATGCCACTCCTCGGCAACGGCGCCAAAATTTGACCGCGCGTCGCAACGCGGCAAAATTATAATTTATATTTTCCTTAACAGACTTCTACCAACTAGTAGTAGTAGTGAGCAAGGGTCGATCCCACAGGGAGTGTGAATCAAATCGTGAATTTTCTCGTATTAATTGAATTATAAAAGCAATAAAAGAGGGGGGATTGGTTTAAAAACTAAACTTATTAAAAATCCTAATAAACAAAGGAAATAAAAATAAAATAGAATAAATAAAGAGAAGTTTCTAGTTCACGGTTCCGTATCCACCCTCGACTGACTCGTCTAATCAATTCTGGTATCAAATCTCGCTATCTTATGAGTTACTAGCCCTAGGCAACGACACGGTCAGTTACCCGAATTTTTCCTTATTTTTAATTTAACCGCGAGACGCTCGACGATTAAACCTGACTTCTTGTACAGTCCGGAAAAACGTTTTCAAGATTTAATACAATTAGCCGCTTTACGAATTAGAAAAATAGGCTAGACTAAGTAGTGAACTCAACCGCGTTCGCTAACTTAAATAGACCGTGTTATCCCCGGTAGTTACTATATTCCGGTTACCTCTTATGAATTAAACACAACAACAATTACGGATTGCAGGTCTAATTCAGATGTAGATATGAAAAGCCTAATCTAGGTGATCAATCTAAACAAGACTAACACATCATGGTGAATTATTCAAAATAACACAAACAATTCCAAAAAGATAACTCAATAATCAACCAAGAAAATCAATCAAACATCATCAAGTCGTAGGGTTCAACATCACCGGAACTAGAAATAAAATCTAAGCTATCATAATAAATAAAAAGAAATAATAAATAAAAGAGAGATTAATTATCTCCCTCGTGTACGGGTGCGGCCTCCCTCCGCGATTGCCGGATTCCTTCGTCTATTTGCTCTGTTCGCGTTCTCTTTTTCTCTGCTTTCTTTTCTTCTGTTTCTGCGTGGCGGCTCCTGTACGTGAGTGAATATGATGGCTGGGGCGTGAATATATATAAATTGGTTGTTGTCCTTTATTTTCCTCCTCTCATGCCAGTTGCGTGAATTTCCAATTAATTCCCATGAATTGGGCTCTCAGGCCCACAAAAACTCACATATCCTCCAAACTTACGTATGTATGTATCAAAGTATAAGCTCCTCTCCAATTAAGCTCATGAGTGGGCCCTTTATAATTTTTATTTCACAAATTGAGTGGCAACCCAATTATTTCCAAATCCAGGTCCGCTCCCATTGGAATCACATTTTAGGCTTTGACATGTTGCCCACGAAAATACTCCAATATCCTAAAAATAAAACATAAAAATATCATAGCACTAAAATCCATCTAATATATAATTAAGTCGAAAAACATATAAATGCGATAAAATTAAGCATATTAAAATACGCTAAGAATTATATAAAATTCACACTCTTTTTTGACCAATCAACCATTTAACATCTCTAATTACACAACACTTTCTCTCTCTCTCTCTCTCCCCTATCTCTTCTTTTCCCTCTTCTCTCTCCCTCTCTCTGTTCTTTTTTTTTTTCAGATTTAACACCTGTTGTTGCTCGAAGGTTGTCGGCGAGGGACTGACAAGGGCCGATTGTGCTGATGCTTGTCTGAAATACAACCACTGCTCGCTGAAAAGAGGTGCCGGTGTGGAATCGCTGCTGCTCTGAGGTCTCCGGCCTTCTAACTACGGTGGAACTCGACCGAAAAAGTTTGTCGCTGCTCGCGGATTCTTCTCGGACTGACGGGGAGTGACGAACCGTTGTTCGGCTTGGTGTGCTTGATCGAGAGTCGTCGGAAGGGGTCGGAGAATTCTCCTCTCCGACAGGACGGACCGTTGTTCGGCTTGGTGTGCTTGATTCGTTGATATCTATTTCAAGATATGAAAATTTATATGTTTCGAGTATGAAAATTATGTACATGATTTATATGTTATCAATAGGTATGAAAATTTACATGTTGCGGGTATATACAGTATGTACCAAAGTTGAGCAACACATATACATAACATATACATAAAATATACGCTCTAGATTCTCGTAATTCGAGTCAGCGACATATCGGGACACATATATACATAAAATATACTTTAATTATACACTTGAGATTCAATCGTTTCTCAAAATCGATTTCAGAACCCACATATACATAAAATATACCTATGATATACACTTGATCCCTGAACTGCGGATATCGTACAGAACTCGCATATACATAAAATATACCTAAGATATACACTTCAGCCGGCCTGCGACCAGTAGTTTCGGATGAGGGTGAACAGATTCCATTTGATATGATCTACTTCATAATTATTAGGAAATATAGACTTTTCTATTTTTTTTTTTTTTAGATTAATAAGCTAATGGTATGATTGTAGGGAATGTTTTAATTTGGTAACTGATCTTTTTTAACTCCACCCAAAGAAATCTATTTTTTAAGTATAGATGCAAATAAAAACACCCACCTAGTAACAATGAAATAATTTTGATATCTTGTGGTTATCTTAAAATTTCGCCGAGTTGTTTGAATTGTTAGATATCGATTTTTATTTCATTTGATTTAATAGTTGGGCTTTTGGGCCCATTTGCTTAGAATATCCATTATGGTTAGACTTGACTAACAATTGATATCGAGGGTTAGCTTTTATTGAATAGGATTGTCGGGGCAGGAAGTTCTTTTCGAATTGTTGGCCTTAGGGTGAGCTGAATTTGTCCTGAGTTATTTTTAAGTCATTTTCTTAATTAATAATATCGATTGTCTATTATTTCAGTTTGCTTTCACAATTAACTCTATTATATTAGCACTAATTTGGCGTCTGGATGGCTTCTTTGAAGCAAAACTGTATTGTTTTTTTCCTCAAATGGCAAATACTATTATGTTACCTCAACTTTACGAAATACTCCATTGCTATGAAGACAAAATACTCTATTAATGGAGACTACTACTCCACAAATGGAGACTAACAACAAAATAAGAACTCTATTAATGGAGACTACTACTCCACAAATGGAGACTAACAACAAAATAAGAACGAAACACAAAATAAAATAAAATAAGACCTCCCTCACGTTACTCAACAACAAACTGAGCACCTCCTGTCCAAACCAACACACTTAGATGACCTTAAGCCTAAACACATATCTGATCGGCAGAAACAACACTCTAACTCCAATTTAGCTAGAAACAGCTAAAAAGATCTGACAAGGAGTCGAAACTCGAGCCCAAATCTGCCAACGGGATAGGATCTAGGAAGAAGGAAGGTAAGACGACAACCTAAACACTTGCCGGTCTCCACCGGACGCCAAAGAGGAGCACCGACACAGGCCTTCTGACGCAAGAGGACAAGGGAGACGACATATTTATTTTCAATTTTATAATACATAAGAAATAAAAAATAAATCCAATCACAGCTGAAGTGTTATAATTATTTTTTCCTACAAGAAAACATTAGTTCATAATGGACTAATGACTTGGTGAATTACTGAATTTGTTGAGTTTTTATAAAAGTTAAGACCATCAAAAACTGTGAGTGCTAAAAATCAAATATTAAAATTGAAATTTACCCTAATTTATGGTATTGAATCAAAAGAGTTGCCGAGGCTTTGAATAAAGAAGTGCCCTTAAATGAGGAGCTCAATGAATTAGTGCTGGAAGTCCTTGCAATGGCTGAATCCTTTTGTTCATGTTCTTTTATTGTTAATTAGATGTTCAGGTAGTAGTGATTAGGTTGTGAGTGGGGGTATTCATGGAATTACCTTGTACCGTTTACTAGTTGGATGCAACTGATATTTACCAGTGTTCTAAAAGTCGCTAGGCGCTCGACCAGCGCCTAGCGTCTAGAGCGCTTAGGCGGGGCCTAGTTAGGGTTTAAAAATCAATATTAAATATCTTATTTTTTATTTATTTTAACTACCTACAAAATAAAACTATCTCAACTTATAATAAATCCACACACCTAAGTCTAAATAATAATATTAATATATTTTAAAGCAAAATATGAGAACAAAATAATTAAACTATACAATTGTTCCTTTTCTATCTATCTGCCTGAAGTTGAGCCAACATGCCAAAATAATATAAGTGACCAAAAATTGAGAGAGAACATGTCACAATAATGGGGATCAAAAGTTGTCTCGCAGAGAGTCTAATTTGAATATACCGGCCAAAAAGTTAATCTCATGTCTAAGTAACAATTATATGATCTCATTTCAAAATAAATAAGCATTTTTTCATGTGCAATTATGCGAACATAATTGCAACTCAATTGAATAATATTAATAGTAATCCACGAGGCAGTTAATTAATTATTTAATTAATTAAGCAGTTTAATTATGAATAAGGAAACCCGGTCACGGGTAGATTAAAAAGAGAATGAGATGCCTTGCGTCACACACGTCTAAGCCTTGCGTCACAAAGTCTTGCCTTTTCTGTACCCGTACTTAACGTCCTTGCATGTGCACTTAATTAAGCTTTAAATACACCAATTAACACCTCAAGCATATATCACACATTAATGGAACTACACTTTTAAAATTCTTAAAAAGATGCAAATGAAAACGGTGTTTGATTAATTTCTTAAGATGAAAAACGAGGAGCAATTAATTATTTAATTAATGACATGTGTAATTATTCGTCTGTTAAGAAGATGAATAATTAAAGTCTTCCGTAGATGCTTACTATAGATGCTTATGTATAGATGGTAGACAAGATAAGCTCATTTTAGGGTGTGCATGATATGCTAAAATCTATATATATATATATAATTACTAGCTAATAGCATTTAATAAAACCTATTTAATAAAACCTCTAAAATTTTCCCTCCATTTTCGGTTACAAAATTTATCATTAATGTTTTTTTACTTTTCACATTAATACATCCTATTGAGTATAATCATGTATTTTTCTATTATATTACATAATAATTAATGCTAATACCAACTAATAATAATTCACAATAAATATAAATTGCATAATTATAAACAATTGTTTCAAGTTATTTATTTTAACATCAATATTATCTTTTTCTTTTGTATCTCATGAAAAAATTTCTTTAAAAACAATTAGTAAATTGTTTTAATAGCATAGTCAAACAACTTTAGAATCTTATAAATATTTGTTTTTGTAATAATAATAATAATAATAATCAAACTGCTATTATCTAATGATAATAAACAATCATTAATTTATTTTTCCTAATGATTAAATTTAAAAAATATAATATGTTCATTATCTAAAATTTTAATATTAAATTCTCAAATATTACTTAATATTTTATGTACATCTGTGCATGTGCACAAGATATTTACTAGTAAATTTGAAGAGGAGTCACAAACATTTTTTTTATTATTATTATTAATATTAAAACTCTAAGGTGAATTTAATTAGGCAATATAATGTGTGTTGCATTTCTAAACGAATTGATGAATTTCATTTATAATTAGGCCAAATGTCATAGATTCTTCCTCAATGTAATTAGTTAATCTAAGTTGTCCATTAATCCTTAAGTAATGGCAGGAATCAAAGTAAAATATTTCCTATCTCAATATCATATTTCAATTCTTATTACGTATGTATTTATAACATCATCATTCACACATGTCATTCACCCAACATGTACACAATTTGGTTTTGTCATAAATTAACAACTCACTGTGTACAGCCTAAAAACCACTGCCTTTGATAGTTCACTGGTATTTGAGTTGTCAAGATTAATCCAACTCATCGGGTTTGTTTTCATTAAATTAAATTACAATCACAAATCTCAAAACTTTTTCAGCTTTAAAAGACAAATAATATTAATAAACCCTAAACCCCAAATTTAAAAACACTAAACCCTAAACCCTAAACCCAAAATTTGGGGAAACATGATAATCACTAATAAAAGACAAATTCTGCCTTTAGTATGAAATTAAGGTGAATTGAATGTGGAGAGAACATGTCATAATTAATTATATATGTTCCCAATCTCTATGCAAGTACAATACTACAATATTGTATTTTTATTTTTATTTTTTTTTTGTCTAAGATCTGACAAGAAATTAATTAATTTGTTGCTAACATAAAGATTAAAGTTCCCCTGTCTGCCCTCATATTCATCATATATATAAACACTTAACCCTTTAAAGCTTTATTTCACACCATCAAAACAAGAACCAGCTAACAAGATTTCGAATTTCTTACGCCATGAGGTCGATAGTTCGAAGCCAAACACGCTCGTCTAGCATGCCCTCGAGATCTTACCCTCTTACAATAACCCCTGAATTCGACTTACATTTGCATACACTAAACTCCGAAAACGAACCCACCTCTTCTTCTTCTTCTTCTTCATCTCTATCCTCAATCGCCAAAAAACTGCACAATCTCGAAAGTTTATACGATTGTGTCGATAATTTACTCCTTTTACCTCACACAAACCAAATCTTCACCCGAGAAAGCCGCGAAAAATGGGTCGACGAAATCTTGGATGGATATCTCGGCCTAGTGGACACATGTGCCACGGCTAAAGATTTCCTCACCCAATCGAAAGAACACATTTCGAACCTCCTTTCAGTCCTCAGGCGAAAGCGCGGCTCAGAAGATCTTTCCGAGTTCATCACCTCAAGAAAGACGATCAAGAAGCAAATACAAAAATCGTTGACAAGTATCGGTAGCTATAAAAAGAACTCCTCTGTTTTAAAAACAGGGGACAAAGATCAAGAAATCATTGCAATAATTCGCACGTTTAAGGAGATCGAGCGAACGACATTTGAGTTGTTCGAGGCATTACTTTCAAGTGTTTCGGGAGAAACGAGCGATTCAAAGCCAAGTAAATGGTCACTAGTTTCGAAGCTTATTGGGTCGAGAAAAATTTCGTGCCACGAGCATAAGAGCTCGATGCTCGAGTTCGGAGATTTGGATGCTTCATTGAGTAAAGGCTCGAAAATCGAGGATTCGCAGCAGCAGTTGAGGGAGATGGAGTTGGCTATTATTGTGCTTGAGGAAAAATTGGAGTGTTTGTTCAAACATTTGATTAAATCAAGAGTTACACTGCTCAACATGCAGAGCCAGTTGTAGTCAATGGCTGATGGTCAACTTTAGTTGTTTTTTGTCCTGTTTTTCAGTTGGGTCTCACAAGTTTTTCTTTATTGCTGTTTTGGTCCTGTCTGAAATTAATTCTTCAGTTTTTTGGGATTAAAAAGGCAATTATTAGTTCTTGTTGGCCTTTTCTACAGATGTAAATATGGAACCCCTCTTGTAGTTATGTGGGAGTTAATGTTTTGAAATGTAAGATGTGCATTTTTTTTTAACATGTTTTCGCATTTTTCATATGGATAATTTCGGGACTAAGTTTGTAAAATATTTTATAATAACTAATAAATAACATGTTTTAGAAATGTATTAAAAGTTATGTAAAAAAAAAGAACTCCAAATCGTAAAAATATAAATGAATTATCCATAAATGTTTGAACTCTTTCGATAAGGTTTGAAAAAATTAGATTTTGTTTAATTTTTTGTAGTACGACTCATTAAAACTCAATTTGACTAGTTTTGGCTCGAGTTCAGCTCGTTAATACTGAGCTTGAGCTCGACCAACATGAGATCGAGTTTTTTTTTTTTCAAACGGATAAATTTTATATCAATAACATAGCAATGTACAATAACAATCAACTGATTGGTAGCATTACAGACCCTCCTCCACAGATAAGTCTATGAAGCAGGGGAATACTGGACATCCAACATTCCCTAACTAACCCCAAAAACAACAACAATACTATGCAAAACTAACACTGGAAAGCCCTATACAAAAACAAAATACAGATACAAAACAACACATAAATAAAAGCCTGACCCTAACTAATTACACCCTAACAATATGAGATCGAGTTTGACTCGACTCGTTTACACCATACTGATAGTTAGGTACTGAATTTGTTGAGTTCTTAAAAATCTCGAAGATCCAAAACCTACTGATAAAGGCACTCTCTGTTATCCAACTTATTATTGTTGATCACACACTTAAGCTCCCATCCACGTAAGGATATCTAACTATTAGCCCATGAAAAATTGTGAGTACTTAAAAATAAGATACTACTAATTAACATTGAAATTTACCCTAATTTAGGGAATTGAATCGAAATTTCCCCGATACATTATGTCTCAATTCAAGAAGCGTACAACCATAGGTCATGATGAGTAGTACCTTACGCTACTGCGTTCACAAGTTTCTATTGAGCTGTCAAGATTCTAAATTAGACTTAATTAAACTATAGAAAAATTCTGAAGGTCACACGTTTTTCAAACAGAGAAAAATAATAATGAAAGCTTGCAAAATCAAAAAAATAAATTTGTGCCTTTATTTGCTTATTATCTGCCTGAAGTTGAGCGAACACGTCAAAATTAATAATATCAGTGACCAAAAGTTGTCAGCGCGCGAGTCAGTAATTTGAATACTATTAAACGTTCAAAAAGTTGGTATCATGTCGAAATTATATTATATACTATATCTTTTGGAAAATAAATATATTTGCATGTGCAATTGTATTAGCATAATTGCGAATCAATTGAATATACTAAAATTAAACCATGAGGCAATTAATTAATTAGTTAATTAAATTGCTGTTTGTGAATAAGAAAGTCCAGTCACGGGTAGAAAGCAATGAGAAGCCTCGTCAGTCGTCACGCACCTCTAGGGCTGACGTAGACGATACGAGATGGAGGCGTGATATGTAAAGTAATGCTATAAAATAAAAAGGTAGTACTATTTATCGCCCGTTTTATTAGTCACCGCCCTATTGAATAATTTTGCCCATTTCATTTTTTCCAAACATCTCATAGCAAAGTGTACGGTAAAATGTCGTTAAATTCCGAGGTACAAAATTTTTTGTGTCCGGCCGGCGAAACCGAACGGTCTGCCTGGCCAGGATAATAAATCCATGTTCACCGCAACGGAGGACTCCGTGGAGTCGCGAACTATCTGTCTGGCTCTCAAAATGATATCCCTGCGGACCATCTCGCACTGGTGCGGGGGGTCTCGAACTCTGGCTAACCTGACGAATCTGTACCCTCCGAGCCTGATCGATCATCGCCTGCCTGTCCCTCTCCCGACGAACAGACGCATTGACACCCCGACTTCTAGTGTGTCGGGTGTCAGAACCATCATAATAGTCATCGAACGCCTCGTCGTCGTCCCTGGCATTAGATTGTCCAGCTTAACACCCTGAATCAGAAATATAATTATTAAATTTTTCCATATGTAATAACTATTATGATTACTATAATTAATTAATAATTATTATTACAAATTATTACTATTAATTATAATTAATTTTAATTTATAATTACTATTATAATTAATTTTATTATAATTATTATTACAAATTATTATTATTATTTATAATTATTATTAGAATTTTTTATTAAAATTATTATAATTAATTCTAATTTATATTTATTATTACAATTAATTTTAATTAATTCTTTATATATATATAGATTTGGCAATCGTATATGATTGGCTGATTTAGTGCATAAATCATATCTATATCTATATATATATAAAGAGGTTGTTGAAAAAATACATTAATAGAAAGTTTGACCAAATAAATATAATGTTTGACTTACTATTAATGGAAAGTTCAAAAAAACACATGTGAATCTTTAGTAACAAAATCTAAATCCTATTTTTTGGAAACAAATTTAGATATTCTTATGGCAAAATTTGAATCCCATTTTTTTCGTATCCTATTTTATTTTTTTACCAAAATTTAACTTATATTTTTTTCGGTAACAAATTTGGAGATTCTTATGCAAAAAATGTGTCAATTATTTATGAAAACAATTCTAAATACAAATTAATTTAAAAACTGTACAAATTGGATACAAATTTAGGAAGCAAATAGTTGTATAATTCTTAACCAATTAATTCTTCAGATCTTATTGGATAATCTTTTCTTTCAAAAAAATTGTGTAAATTGGATAAAGCCACGTGCAATTTTATTTTGGACGGGATGTACATTCAAAATTGTGTCCACATTTTTTTGTAACAAAAGCGGTTCATCATTGATATTTAAAGTCACCTTATCCAATTATTTAGGAAAAATTGTGTGCAACTTTTCAAAATTTAAATGCCTTGATTTTTTTTAGATTCTTAACCATGTTTTACCGAGATTTTGGTAAGTTCATATCATTTTTTATTTTTTTTCGGTTAAGTTCATATCATTTTCTTTAGGAAAGAGACAATTGTTAGATAACTTTTCAAATAGTTCAAATAACCATTAACAATTTTAATTTTTTATTACAATTATTTTCAATTCATTTTATTTGGCATAAAAATCAGTGCAATGTTAGGAAAATTCGGTTGCATTTTTAAGAAAAATTGATGACTTTTTTATTTGGTTTAAAAAAAAAATCGGATCAATTTGTTTGATAAAAAAAATCGGTTTATTGGTAGAAAAATCGGTTTCATTTACAGGAGTAACTAATGATTCTTTTCAATTTTTCGTCATTGAAATTTAGAATTAGATTTAAAATAAATAATGGGTGAAAATACCTAAAAAGTTCTACTTTTTTTCGACTTTAATTTTGTTTAAGAAATAAGATCCTTTAATTTTTTTAAAATTTGTTAACTAATAACTAATAATATGCAATTTTGGATAAATTCGAACACCTATGTAGTACTTTACGTGCCAAAGAATCAAATCAATAATGTTGTATATAAAGAAGTGTTTAATAACATACAAATTTCATTTTCATGAAATTTTTAATGGCATGAGACAATTTAGATACAAATATACATTTTTAAAAATAAATAGGTAATAAATGCTCCCGTGCATCGCAAGGGTACCGTACTAGTATATTTTAATTACATAGTTCGGAACTGAATTAAGAGAAAAAATATAGGCATGAGATGTTTATCGAAACATACATGAAATGACAAAAGAAACCCTAGTGACTGGCCAAATCCATTTAAAAACTGTCCATTACGAGTCTTACTTGGATTAAGAATAATTAATATATATGTATTGTTTAGGTACTAGCTAGCTAATCGTATACTTTAATACAGATCGATTAAATTAATGACTATAATTTAATTAGGTGCCAAATAATATAATTAATATTCCACATTTTATTTTGGTATGACATGAGCTGGTAAGCTAGTGAGCCAAAGGTATATCCATTTTGTATGAGATTCGAATCCTTTTATATCCATCCAGCTTGTTAATTAATTATTTCATTGATAGTTTAGTAAAAATTTTAGTTTGTTCAATATTCTAAAATTCATTTACATAGTGAATTTCGTTAAAATTGAAGGAATCTCAAACTTTTTCATCACCCTAATTANATAATAATAATAATAATAATAATAATAATAATAATAATAATAATAATAATAATAATAATAATAATAATAAATGGAGTTGTAAAGACAGCTTGCCTGTTATGTTCCCGTATTTATAGGCCGAAAGTTGTGATAATTAATTAACGTCCTTGCATGTGCAGTTATATGGTAATACACCAACATATCTGAAGCATCACGTACACAATTAATAATGAAACTACGTTTGTTAATAAAATTCTTAAGGTCCATTAATGCGAACTAGTGTGTTTAATTATTCTCTTAAGATGAAAAACGAGGAACAATTATTAATTATTCTCTTTTAATTAGTTGGATTATAGGAAAAAAAGTGAAATGAGATAAAAAGTGAAAATATTTTATTTCAATTCACTCAATGATATAAATATTGGCTGAAAATAAAATCTCATATCGACATGTTTTAATAATTCATATTGAAATTTACCCTAATTTCGTGTACAACCACGAGCCATGCAACTTTCTGTTGAGTTGTCAAGATTCCAATGTAGACTTAATTAAACTATAGAATAATTTCTGAAATGTCACACGTTTTTCAAATAAATCTAAATTTTACGAAGCTGAAATACAAAATTGTGGCTTTATTATTTAAGTCTGCCTGAAGCTGAGCGGACATGCCCAAAATTATAGTCTCATAATTGAATATTATCTGCCGACCAAAAACTTAATCTCATGTTGTACTAGTAATTAGTTATATATCTTT